AAAAAAAAAATATTATATACATATATCATCCTATATATGTATTGCTGTTGATGGCTCGCGCCATTGGGGTAAAACCCATAAAGACACGAAGAACAACAACGGCAACAAAAAAAAAAAAACGGCCACCCCGAAAGCCCAAGATCCGCCACGAAGCATCCCACACGATAGAAAAGCGACATGTGTTTTTTCCATACCATCCAAACGCGTTTTGCGTATTTAATTAGAACAACATAGCTCATAGCGTGGGCGTCGGGATGTTGGGTGTATGGCTTTCCACGGTTCGGTTCTTGCCTTCCGGGGCTCGGGGGCAAAGGCGAAGCGTGGCGACCCGTATTCGCCACATAGGTCGCCTTGGAATTTGGCTGTCGTAGGGAATTCCCCTTCTGTTTTCTTATATTAAGCAGTGTTAATAATTATATATTTTCTGTACGTTGGTTTCGTTTTTGTTTTGCATTTGGTCAGCCAGGCCTGGCTGACCAAAGCGCCGGGGAACCAAATGGGCCATTTGCATCTCAACGTGTCCGCATGGGCTTGCAAGAAGTCCTTAGAGATAAACCCCAAGCAAAAAAAAAAAAAAAAACTTTTTTCTATCTTCCCAGACGCTAATCTTTTACGTGTGTGTCTTCGGAGCCGTAGCGGCATATGTTTTGAAGGATATGCACTTCGGAAGTGGTTTTGGATCCGGCCATCTTGACCCCTTTCACCTTTCACAGAGCCCTTCAGCGTCCAAAAAAAAAAAAAAAAATGCCACTTTCCACTACCCTGCAAAAGCATCCGTGGGATCATCTAAAAGAATAATCCAAGCCTTACTTCCTCCTTAAAGGAGATAGTAGAGAATAAAAAGAGAGAAACAATATGTCACTTTATCGCCTTAGGCACACCATTCCCGCACTACATATGTATATATTTCGATATTTTCCCCCCATGGCCGTTCTCCAAAATAAATGCCAGAACTGACGAAATGGAAGTGCTGAGAAACCTTTTTTTTCCTGCCTTCCACTCTCCCCTTCGCAAGTTCCACCCCTTCAGAGACTTCCATTCTTTGATGGATGTGCAATCAAGATGTGCCGTCCGCAGGATTGTCCTCTGGGGCGGCGTAACCCCCCCTTGGCTCGCATTCCATGTGGGAGCAAAATTCTCTATGGCGTTGGCTTCCGCCACTAATGCCAGTGAATGCAAGTTTCCTTTTGGCATAATGTGCATTATTGTTCTGTCGTCTATACGAATGCCCAAGCGGTCAGTTAAATGTCTTTTAAAATCGCGTAAGGTGTGATGAACCGCACGCGCCTCTACTTTCGATATCGTATGAGGTGAATGCTCCCATGCACCACCTGCCTCCAGAACTTCCCCTTAATCCCTGAATAATGGCTCCCCCCATCTGTATATGGATGCGTCTGTTAACAGAGTTGCCGTGGATGGCGGGTGCTGCTGTGGGTGAAAAGGCCCGTTCGCTAACAGTGTTTTGTACCAATTCTGCCCAATTTCCCTCGCAATTAGTGATTAATTTGCTGGGCCTTTGGGCCGTATTAAACCTCGATTTAAACGTGACAATTCTTGACGGACTATTTTTAAGCAGAAATAATAAGGGAAAAGAGATTTACCCCGCGCCCCAAACACGCGCATCGCGCGTGAAACGTTACTTCCCATTTCTTCAACTTTAGCACGTTCAAATAATAGTGCTTCTTGTAACCTATTTATTCGCTTTTGGCTTAGAGATACCATGTTTTCCTTGTGGTTGAAGTATACTCCTATAAAAACCATATTCCTTTCTTTGAAACTTTTTGTCATCGGCCATTCCTTTTACGATTGCTTTGATCCACCCGTGTGTCTTCTCCTCCGATTTCTACATATCGTGCGGCCCTGTTTGGATCGCCCTTGAATGTCCTGGGAAGAGTTCCCCAATCACTATTATGGCGTTTGGATCCCAAGCGTTCTGTGCAAAATTTTGTTTCTGAAGTTTTACTATTTCTCCCCAACGGCTGGCGGCAACCCACGCCAGTCGTAATGCCACTCTATCCCTTTCCCGAGTAAGACCGCCGTTGATCATATCAGAGTCGCATCTCAAGATGGGACGTCCTTGTTTTATGAGGTGTCTGCGGCCGCTATCTTTTGTAGGCCGGCCAGAAACATTTGGGTAGGCGTTTTCCTTGACTTCATCATGGCGATCCGTGTTCGCGTATATTGTAACGCGCTGTGTTTTGCCAATTGTAAATTTACGATACATAGTGGAATGTTTTCTTTTTGAATTTCTAAAATGTTCTGCACTGTGAACTTGATGAATCTTCTCATTCCTGAGCTTCGCTGCCCCCATGCTGTTCAGGTCCACATGCGTTTTGCCATCTGGCCACCCTCTGAAACCAACGCCGCGATGTACGGATTGCGGGTTCACGTAGGTATTATAGCAAACTCTTTGATGGATGCCATCCAGAGGGGGAAGTGGTATCAATAGGGAAATCCCCCCGAATTTGTTTTGCTTGTACGTTTTGCCTTTGCGTTGCTCCGCTGATAATGGTATGTGGTACATTCAAAAATTACGATCGGAATAAAATCACGGTGTTGGGTGAGCTTCCCTATCCATCAGCATCTAACTTCCGTTGGCGCCTTATTTCTCCAAGGCCCGGTGTTCGCTGTTTCCTGGGCTGAATGTCGTTTTTGGCTTGTAAAGTTCTTTTAGCAAAGGGACATGGCGCGTAGAGCTATGAAGCCCGATACGGCCACAACTGAAACAGCGTGCCATGCTGGATGGTGGTGGTGCCGAATGTTCCCTCTGCCACTTCGCGGTGGCCTGTATGAAAAGATCATCCCGTTTTTTGAGACTCAACGATAGCCCCCCGAATGCCCTGCATCTTCACTCCGGGAATATCCTTAACCGTTTTTATTGCCCGCGCCATTGCGCAAAGCCATCATCCCATCTGAACATGTTGCGCCGCCATCCCTTCACTACGAACAGGGCGCGTTCATTGCAAAAAATTATACCATGCCTCGTTATAATCTGGGAAAGGGTTCGCCGGCATGGGAAAAACTTTTCCCGGCATGCGGTCACCAATTGGTTGGGCGACACCCCCTCAAATAGTCCATTATTCCTTTAAAAGTACGATCCACTCCTCTTGCCTGACGCCGCCGTTCCTTGCTGGCAGCCGGGGCCCCTGTGATCCCCTGAAATCCTAATTTTAGGCCATTCCTAGTGCGCCATTGGTGCCTTATCCCGTTTCCATGGACTTTGTGATAAATAAATGGTTTTGTTGAGGGTGTTATGGTCATTCCGACGTTTGTCTTCTGCCCTTTTTGTATAGGGATGCTCCTGCCCTATTTGCTTTAATAATTTCACTACCCGAATCTCTCTTTGATAGAATTGTTGTGGTGTTGTCACGGGTTGTACTTGCTTTTCTCCCAGTTGTTTCTGAGCAACTCACAATTGGCAAATGGTTTTATCGCATTTGTGTTTTTACCTCTTCAGTTTCGTGGTAATTTGTGTCATTTGTTTTTGTATTTCCTGGACCTGTATGTTTCTGTTTTTATATGATTTAAAGTTCCTCTCTTCCGATTACGCCGATTCATATCGGGATTGGCGGTATAATGGTTGTTGTTTCACTTCCAGCGCTTCCCATTCTGCGATGAACTGTGCGTTTGCTTCCTCAAAACCAAGTAGAAAATCTCTTTTCCACGGCAAGGTGAAGGTGACCATAGGCAAGCGGGGAAAGGTCTCCCAAGTAATAGATCTATTTGGGGCCCATTTTTACCACAAGTATGTCGTTTTCTACTGAAATAAAACCGCCCACGTGATAACTTAAATGCAGAGTTTCCTCCAGAGGAAACTCAAATGCAAAAGCCGTACGGCTTTTTTGGTGCACAAAATTTGTGAACGCACGCGTGCCGGTCAACGGTTCTGCTGTTAAGTAAAGAGGGCGGTTACTACTTATTATTTTCCTTATTTATAAAACCTTGTTTTGTCAAAAAAATTACGTTTCGCAGAGTGTGAAGATGAAAAATAGTAATCATATTGCAGAAGTTTAAGTCCATACACCATTCGATTCCTATTAACGTAAGGCTCGATCATTCTTTTCGCAAGCCGTCAAAAAAAAAAAAAAAGACTACCTTGTAACTCTTTATTGGTCGCATGCATTTCATCCCCAGGGTTTTATGTATTGGTCAATAAAAAACGAACGTGAACAGAGCAAGTTAGAGGAACTACCATGGGAGAAAGCCTTTTTTGCACATAGCGCCATCCTCGTTCCCACTTGGTTCTCGTCTAGTTCTCGCTTTGGCCGGCGTTGAAAGCCCGCCATCGGGCGCTAGCAGGCCCCCGGCCCCTAACCCGCGACAGCTGCGCTCTTTTCAAAGGGTTGCGGCGGAAACCCTTCTTGGACGGCGAAGTGGATAAAACATGCCGAGTTCTTTAACCGAGAAAGGGGGCCAATAGTTCTTCCCATTGGGCGGTCAAGAGGCCGGAAGGGGGAATTGGTAGAATTTGCCGCCCCAGGGGGGACGACGTCCTTGGCATCCCGGATGGCCCGTAATGGTTTAAAGCGTTTATTTTATAACAACCTCCCCTTCTTAAAACCGTATAATCTTCTGCAGCAGTTGTTGGTGGCGGAGGGGGATGGCCTATTGAGGTGCGCATGGGTGTGGGTAACCTCTGCCAACGCCTTTTGGGAAACAGACCCCGGCTTGCATTCTTCAAAACATCCTGCGTCCGCTCTTAAAATTTGGAAAAGTCCAAACGCCACTCTGAGCAAACTAAACAGCCAGCGACCCTGGTTCAGGAAAGCGACGCCCGCATAAACTGGCGGTTTTGTTTCGAATTGCGTAGGTACTTTTTCTGGTTTTGCGTTTCTCTGTAAAAAAAAAAGGAGAATCAAAACCTCTTTTAGTTACTATTGCTAACATTCGCTTTTCTCAAAAGGATTGATTTTTAAAAAGGTCTTTATTTTCCTTCCATTTAACCCAACGCCCAACCCAGAGCCAAACTGTGATAATAATGGCGTTTTGTCCTCTTATGGGTGGCGCTTGTTTCTTCTGCATGCGAATCGGTGCAACAAAAGCACGGCCAACTCTGTGCACACAATGGACGGCAGTTTGGGAAAGAGAATTAGTTTTGTATTATCGGAGCAAACGTTCAAAGCTGCAACTTTCTGAGAAAGGTTTGGGGCATAAGAAAATACAAGTGTGCAATACAAGAAATCGCGGCAAAAGAGAGCACTGACACAGTCGCGGCCCATCGGAAAAAGTCATAGAAAAGCAAGAAAAATACAAAGATAAAATTATCAAATAAGAAAAAAAAAAAACGGAAAGACCTCGGAAGTATTAACCGAAGGAAACGCTGCCAGAACCGAAACTTCACCACGTCGCGTGGCAAAGGAAGGCGTTCGCCTTGGCATTGGCGATGGGGTGAGGTTCCTTTGGAAAGGGCATCTCGCAAAAGCAGGGCCTCGGAACTTTCAAGAACCCAAGAATAAACCACCAGAGCCTCGGGCCAAGGCAGAGGGAGTAAATCCACACATTTAAAGAGGAGATGGGAAAACCATTGGGGATTTCGTTTTCTAAAACGAACCTTGCCAGCGTTTTGGTGTGTTTTCCGCGTGCTGTCGGCAGCAGGCCCTGGCAACACAGCAGCATAGTTTATTTTCCTGCCTTGGGTTTCGCATGGTTGCTGCCAAGGGTTCTTATGGCACGTCGTAGGGCTGGGCGGTGGGTAACTTACATTTTGGCGTGGGAGCATTTCCCGCTAGAGAGCCCCATTTAGCGCTATAACTGTTGTTCTGACACCCCCCTGCCGAAAAAAGAAAAACATGCACCCGAGACCGTCGGCATTGCTTTTTGGTAATGTGAGCGCCCAACATGGGAAGAAAGAAGTTCCATATATGGAAAGTTATGCATCTTTGGAGTGCCTAATGGTTTAAATGTTTCTGAAAAAGCATTGGTCTCTCTTTTTGTTGTCGGCCTTCAACTCGGCAAGGGCGTAGCAGTTTTATACAAAGAGAAAGTTCCAACCCTATTGCCACCAGGCAAAACGCAAACAAATTAGTCCACCCACTATGCAAAGCGCATTGGGTGAACAGAAATCAATTTACACGCCCGAAGTTGCTACGACAACCCGATTTGATAAGCAGAAGGCTCTAAATAGAACTTCAACTCTTACTTCTGATAGTGGTTAGGCTGCCGGCGGCGGAAGTGACAATAATGGAAAAGTTGAAAAAGAGATCCCTATTTCCACTACCCCGGCAAGGCTGCTGTAATTGTGAATTTGGGTTCGCTACCAAAGGCTGTCAAAATCAATCCATATAAAGCAGCGTGTTATGTCGTTACCATTGGACTGGGGAACGAAAAAACCATACATTCCTAAACAATGTTTGAAAAAGTGAAAATTCAATACTTACAAAAATAAAAGAAGCGGAAAAAATTCTCCGCCTTAACGAGATGAGTCTTCGCTCTATAAAAGGGCAAACCGTTACATATGCAGCGGTTTATATGTTCAAAAACAGTCTAAATCCTTGATTCTTAAGTCTGGTGGGAAGATATGTGAATCTGATGGAATCCTCTTTGGGGTGACGGGCTGTGATTGTTAAGAAATTTGTCTCGTTGACTATTCCGGTATGCGGAGGTTGCGGAAATAAGGCCGGTTGCTGGTGACAGAACCGGGGAAGAAGAAGAACAGAAGAAGCTACCAGAAGCACCCCTTTCTGAAAGGACCTCGTCGCACACGCTTGCCGCCCCAGGGAGAAAAGCAAGGTTGACCACAAGAGCGCATCAACTCAGCCACCTTATCTGAAAATTGCGGTGGGCCCCAGCCGAAGGCAGAGATGGGGAACCAGTTCCGCGGGGTTTCGGTGCCTTCTATAAACGGGAGGCGCCGTCGGAAAAAATAAAAATAAAAAGCAAGCTGCTTATGGAAAAGGCTTTCTTCGTCAGAAAACCCATGGAAAAAACCTATAACAGGATTGGGGGCGGTATTAAAAGTGGCGGGTGTCAAATCGTGGGGCTGAAAAGGGCATTTCAATTTTTGGCCCAACGCAAAAGGCGACAGAGATACGCACAGGGCTGGCGTTTCGTCTTCTTGGGCCCTCCGCGCTTCTTGGCGGCCAAAGGCGGAGCGGCGGTTTCCCTCCCTGGGGGTGTGTTTCTCCGGGGGCTTTTGGTGGTGGTTGGGTTGTCGTGCGGGCGTTTTTCTTTTTTTTTCCATCGCCGGGCGCCGGCCATCACCCAGGGGTCGAAACGGGAGCCCGGGGTGAAAAAACCTCTCCCCCGGCAGGGTCATCCGGCAAGTTCTCGTGACGAGGGTGCCCGGGGCGACCCCCGCTTCAGTTTTTCCAAGGTTTTGAGTGGATTTATTTGCTAGGTTCCGGCCGGGAGGCGGCGTGCCCGCAAGGGTTGCCCGAAAAGATCTCTTGATGTCCCCGCGGGGGCTTGTTGCGCCGTCTTTCCCGGCGGCCGTCGTTCCCGGGGCCCGGCAAAACCCCCGTCGTTCGTCATAGCGTTTTCGGTTCTCATCGGCGTTCGTTGTGTTCGATTTTTTTTTTTTTTTTTGGCGGGGTTGGGCCGTTCGACTGCCGACGCCTGTGTGCCGACGCCTTGTTTTTATTGGTATTATTGATTGTTGTGGTTATATATTTGTAATATGTATAATATCTTCGGGGTGGTGTGGGGCGCGGTCTCTTGAGGTGCAGTTTGTGTGTGTGTGTGTCGTGGCGTGTTGCGGCGCGGTGGTCCTCCCGGGTGGGTGGTCACGGTGTGAGTTTTAACTTTATAAATAGAGATTATTTGAACCGCTCCGAGGTTTCATTTTTTTTTTTTTTTATTTATTGAATGAATCTTTAAAAATTTTTGGTGCTAATTAAATTAATTGTTTTCATGTGTGATGTCCTTGTTTTTTTTTATTTATGTTAAAAAAATATTTATTTTATTATTATTATTATTATTATTATTATTATTTTTATTATTATATTTATTTTTACTATTAATTATTTTATTACTATTATTGTATTTATTATGATTATAATTATTTTATTATTTCTTTTTAATTATATTTATTATATTTATTATTTTATTATTATTATTATTATTATTAATATTGTTGTCATTATTACAATGATTATATTTTTTCTTGCTATTGCCATTGTTATTTTGTTGTCGATGTTATTATTTGTGGCCTTGTGTCTTTTTGCTATTGTAGTTGCAGCCGTGATATAATATCGTGTAGTTTTTTTTATTTATCATTTATTATTATTATTATTATTATTATTATTATTATTATTA